TTTAGCTGACGCTTTTATCCAAAGCAACTTATAATGACCGATTACAGGGACATTCTCCCTGGAGTAACTAAGGGCTAAGTGCCTTACTCAAGGGCACACTAGTGGTGGTGTTCCTGGCGGGATTTGAACTCACAGCCTTCCGATCTTCAGCCCACCTCACTATCCATTAGACCAATCACTACCCTCTCTAATGGAAATATGTGTTTACATAAATGGTGACCACACCGTTTGAGACCCACTGAGAACTTAGACTAAGTTAACTATCTCAGAGAGTGCTTTACCTCACCTGAGCTGAGGTTATCCCGAGCTTGAATGACACACAGAGACCAATCAAGGGCTTTGATTTATGATCTGTATGACAGTGGCCATGTCGGCAGGCCACATCATGTGGACAGCCAGTCACCCTGTGTGAGGCAGGCCACTTAACAGGCCAGAAGGAGGCGAGATCAGAGCAAGGGAGCGAGGGATCATTGTCTACAAGTTAATCGATCGCAGATGGCGTCGTGGTCACGGATGAAAAAAAAAAATATATATAATAAAAAAAAATTATATAAAAAAAACAAAACTAAATGGGTCGCGAAATATACTTGGGCGGCCGTTAATATACCTGGGCGGCCCGCCCAAGTATAGTCTATGTGTGGGAAACCCTGCTGAAAGTAAAACAAGAATACAGTTTAAAAGTTGAGTGATTTGTAAAATATCCATAAAGAAAAAGAAAATCTGTTTACCATAAATTCATTTTGCTCTCAAAATGCACCAGGTTGATGCATTTAACTTCAATATTTAAAAAATATTGAGCATGCCCCCGGACCCCCCTAGAGGAGGTGAGGACCCCCCCCCCCACTTATAAAATAGCACGTTTACCTCTGCTTACACCTATATGCCATTTTATATGCTGTGAGCTGATTGTCGAGCCTTCATTGTAAGAGTCATGGGTACTGTGTATGTGCGTATTCCACTGTAGCGCCCGGTACATTAATGGGAAACCCTAGTTTGTACATGTTCAATACATTTGTAACATTGTACACATGCACGTTTCTTTTTTCAGTTCACCAAAAAAATCTCACTCCAAGCTGAACTCAAATGTTGGCAGCCCTGCTACATCTGATTACAAAGTGTCATCTGTACAGGACGGTAAAATAATAACAGGCACACATATAAATAAATCTATGACAGACTCATCTGTACTGAACAGTATGATACAATAATCGATGGCAAAAACATGTCTATAGTCACTGTAAATGTCTCCGTTGTGGGACGAATAAATGATTAATTTAATCATCTACACATGTAATCTCACTTTTACACACCAAAATAACGTTAACACAGAGTAAACGTTTGCTATTTTGTCCCAAGAAAAAGTTCATGACTATCGATAAAAAATATATCAATAAACCTATTGTTCATTTTTGCGGTATTCCCTACACATTGCAAGTACACACTGTAATATTTACACGTACCCATGTCCAAATGGATCCTTGTTGTTGTCGCTGAATCATATTTCTACTCCTTAAAAATGGAAAATATATGATTAAATACGTAAATTATGGAGAGGGGTTTGCCTGCAGACCTCCACTCTCAGGACAGTTCCGGTGCAGACCTCGACTCTCAGGACACCTCCACTGTCAGTACAGAAAGTGACGATTCTGACGTGGGCTAGCTAATAGTGATGCTAATGATAGCTAATTCTTAATAGTAGTATGTGTGTCATTTGTACAGTGCTACTTATATGTTATGTAAAGCCTGCATACTTATATGTGTTTTATTTCTGTATTGTTACAGTTTTACAAAGTAAAAGAAGAACAGTAAAGTCAAGAAAGAAAACCTTGCATCTTTATTGGAGGACTTTTAAATGTTAGCTAACTGTCTAGCTATGCATAGGGATACGCGCTGTAAGGGCAGAACAGTTCAATCAATCTAAGTGATGAAAAGTGATACTGTACTGATATTAACTACAATACAAGGGTCCCACCCCGCTGCGGGACCCGTGGGACCCGTGGGACCCCTGGACGGTGCGTCTTGGTCACGCTTCATATCGGCCGGCCCGGGAAGGAAGAGACACGCAGAGTGGGGGAAGTCCCCCCCCCCCAACGCAGCACACCCTCCCGGCCATCAGAGTCGAACCCGCAGTTCGGAGGAACCGACCGCCAGAGCACCGGCACTAGGCCGGGCCGGCGCGGAGGCCCTCCGACAGTGGGTCGCGTTTGCCATTCGATCAGTGAGAGGAGAGGAGAAAAATGCAACAAAAATGGTCAAAATCCGTTAATATATGGATGAGTGGGGAGGGGGGCTGGACACAGGCCGTGGGGGGACACCCGAGACCGGGTGAAATAGCCAAAAAAAAAATCATAATAAAACCGGGGAAAATAGGGGGGAAAGTGAAAAAAAGTGTCCGAAAATAGGCACTCGTGAGGCGGGCAGAGTCCCCTGTTAACTCCCGTTACATTCCTCCATGGTGTCATTTGAGCTAAAAACTTTTACGAGAACCAGGCTGGGGGGGTCAAAAGGGCTTGACCAAGGCCGACCCAAAGTGCACGGTGGGCGGACTCATCACCTCCGTGATAAGTCTCCATTGTGATTTGAAAACTTCCATAAAAACGAGTCCTTCGGTGGGCGGGGAAAAAAACGTGTTCGTCCGAATCGTCACTTCCTGTACTGACAGTGGAGGTGTCCTGAGAGTGCAGCCTGCACCGGAACTGTCCTGAGAGTGGAGGTCTGCAGGCAGGCTCCCATGAAATTATGCGCACCTGGACGCGCCGGCGCATCCACCGACTCCAGAGGGTCTGCCAAAAAGGCCACATTATTGACCCGAAAGTACACAAAAAGCACACTTCAGATACTCAACTTCCTTGACATGCTTCACGTTTTGAAATTTCACAGATATCTGTTACGGTTCTTCCACAAAACGTTCACATGTAAGAGGTTCATCTCTCATTCAGAACAATGGAAACCTGTGATCTCTACAGAGCTCGTTAGCTCAAATATAAACACCTGTGTAATGGAACACGATGATGTCATCACTCCAACTGACATGCTCAGAGCAGCAGACTTCAGATAAAGGTTAACGGTCCTGCCCTCAACAGCTCTACGTCAACTCTAACGTTCTCCTGGCATTCGCCAAACCCAGACTGGTCCATCAGAGGACAGATAGAGAAGCGTGACTCTTCACTCGACAGAACACGTTTCCAACGCTCCAGAGTCCAGTGGCGGCGTGCTTTACACCACTCCATCCGACGCTTGGCATTGTGCTTGGTGATGTAAGGCTTGATGCAGCTGCTCGGCCATGAAAACCCATGAAGCTCCCACAGTTCTGGTGCTGATATTAATGCCAGAGCTGGAACTCTGCAGTTATTGAGTCAGCAGAGCTTTGGCCACTTTTAGGCACTATGCGCCTCAGCACCCCCCTCTGTAACTTTACGTGGTCTGACACTTTGTGGCTGAATTGCTGTGGTTCCGAAACGTTTCCACTTTGCAATAACACCACTTAAAGTTAATCGTGGAATATCTAGGAGAGAAAACTTTCCACCAACAGACTTGTTGCAACCTATTACAGTACCACGTTAGAATTCAGTGAGCTCTTTAGAACGACCCATTCTTTCAGAAATGTTTGTAAAGGCAGACTGCATGCAGGGGCACAGATAGTGGGGGGGACGGGGGTGATACGTCCCCCCCAATTTCATAGGGACACTGATCGGTGTATTTGTTAATCCACATACATACTTACATTGTATTATATTTGATCTTGAAACAGTTCATATTTGAGCTTACAATTAATGTTACTTATGATTGTAAAACACATAGTAAAACAAATAGTAAATCAATATCGTGAAAATAATTTCTCTCAGTTTCGTCCCCCCCCCATTTAAAAAATATCACCTGCGCCCCTGACTGCATGGCTAGGTGCTTGATTTTATACACCTGTGGCAATGGGACTGAATGAAACACCTGAATTAAATTATTAAGAGGAGTGTCCCAATACTTTTGTCTATATCGTGTATGTCTTTCTTTTAAAATGTTTTGTCACACTGTAATCCTTCTAGTATGTACCAGTATCTGATTACATCCGTTTTTGTGTGATTACAGTTACCTTGTTTTTGTATCTTGATTACGTATTCCGTTACATGTAATCCATTACTCCCCAAGCCTGCTGGTCAGGTAGCCAATAAAGTCCGGCAGTGGCTCAGTCAGTAGGGGCTTGGACCGGGAGCCTCAGTGTCGGCGGTTCAAGTCCCCGAATATATGGAGTGTGGACTGGTACTTGGAGAGGTCCCAGTTCACCTCCTGGTAGTACTAGGATAGGTTACATTTCACATTACAGAGGGTTTCATCCTCAAATTCTATATATTCTATAGTTGAGAATAATCTCAGTAAGCATAATGTGCAGTTACCAGCAGTCAAATTAAAACAATGCAGTTATTAACCTCTGACAGCGCCATGTTTGGGGTATGGCTATATTTACATGATTGACAGGTGTCACATCACACTCAGCCAAGGCCGTCACCGTTGTTGATCTCAGCTCAGCTCCACCCAGGACTCCTCTCACAAGACCAAACTGAGACCTTCCTGTTCCCATAAAGCAGCAGGTGGTAACCATGACGCCCATCACAACCCTTGGCTGCGTCCATCTTCGCTGCAGGCTGTGTTAACACCTTCCTACTCTCTGGTGTCTCACACATATGGAGCTGCATGCACGCACACACACACACACACACACACACACACACACACACACACACACACACACACACACACACACACACACACACACACACACACACACACACACACACACACGTCTCACTGCAGGAGAAAAAAAATACACACAGGCCCATTGAGTATTGCAGTTTCCATAGCAACAGGGATAATGATGGTGTGTGAGATTGGCATCAGGGAGTGTGTGAGTAAAGCTGTAACTGTGTGTAACTGAGTGTGTGTGAAGATAAAGATAAGGAGGATGGATAACGTGCTGTTGGCTTTATTTACTCTCCATCACACACATTCATCCAGCCCCCGCCAAGGTGGAGGAGAATGACGCTGAATATCTTCTCTCATTATTATTCCCCCACCCCCTCCATCCGTCTCCCACCACAGCTGGATAAGCCAGCCCCTCACAGCTCCTCTCACAGAGCAGGGATTTGAAGATTGCATCCTCACATTTGTAATCAGAGGAAGGAACGGATTATCTCCATCTTGTTCTCTGCCGGGGGCTGCTGAGAAAAAGGAGGGAGAGCAGAGAGGATGACATGCAGCTCAGTGAATGGAGTGTAGTCACAGATAGAGAGGAGGGAGAGGTCACCTGTGGATGTGAGCAGGGGGAGGAGGACCTGCACCCATCAGCCGACACACCGAGGAGAGAAGAGCTCAGCAGGGAGGATCTGTGAAGGTAAGCTAGCTGCTGGAGGAAATGTTGGAATCTTTTCTGCTCGGGAACACTTGGATGATATGGGTGTGAGGTCCTGACGATGGTGTGGAGTCTGGTTCTGGTTCAGCCCACCTCCTGACCTCCTTTCAGCATCCAGGAGTCTCTAACTGGAGATTCCCGCCTACGTTATCTGTGGGCCTGCATTTGTAATTAAACATTAAAAAAATTATATCAGGTTTAAAGTTAAACCTCCTAAAACAAGCATTTAAAATTGCATCAGTTTTTTTTATTTAAAAAAAGTTCAATTCTGTTTGCCCAAAATATTTTTCTTAAAATACAGTTTCTAATATGGGAGCTTGGGACTGTCAGCCTCTAACTTTAACACACGCTGTCATGACGTAACAGCAGCCAGCCCAATCAGCCTTGAACTGTTTCTGTTCAAATAAAAGCTGAGAAGAACAATGTCAATCTCATGTCATACGTGTACAATTTAGAGCTGGAGTCAAGGCGTGGTTAGCCTAGCTTAGCATAAAGACCCAGAGCAGGGGAAACAGCTAGCCTGGTTCTGTGAAAAGTTCAAAAATACACTTTCCAACATCTCCACAGATCACTGATCAACATGTTGTGTCATGTTTGTCTAATCTGTCCACCAACAGATATTTAAAATCCACAATTTCCAGTCTCCATGTTAAGCTAGGGTCACCACATCTCCACTGGGCGTATTCATCAACATGTTCATTAAATGGGATTGAAACACAGTGTTTGTGAGTCAGAGGAAACTCACACATGAAGCTGAGGCTGATATGCAGACTGTAGAGCCGTGCGCTAACGCTGACCCCCCCGCAGCGGGCCGGTCCAGGTCCCACCCGCTGAACATTGTTCTATTTGATAAAAAGGAAAGAAAGCCCCAACGGGATTGTTAAAAAACACTCATGTGTTCTATTGAGGTTGTCATTATAAAATGGAGCCAAATGTGCTGTGGTCCTGCCTATTAGACCGATAATCATCATTAATAGATTTATTTTCGAAGCAGTGACAGATAAATACTAATAAAATACTGTATTTGCTGTTATTCTCTCATGTTTGAATGCTCAGAATGCTTTCAGGAGTATGTGTACTCCTAGAGCCACCATTCTGTCATTATTCTAACAGTTGCCTGGGGGGGGAGCAGGTGCTTTGGATGGAGCACACTTCATTTATAATGTTAATTTAAATTACTGACTGTGAAGATTGCACATAGTGATTGTTTTTGTGTTCTGGAAGTGATTGCAATTACCACAACTTGCAGTTTATTTTCTTCAGGAGACACATGTTCACACACAGCCTCAGTTCTGTGTGTGATGATTCTCAGGGCTCGGTTCTTGGTCCCCTCCTCTTCTCCCTGTACACAAACTCGCTCGGATCAGTCATTAGCCCGCATGGTTTTTCATACCACTGCTACGCTGATGACACCCAATTAATTCTGTCCTTTCCCCGCTCAGAGACCCAGGTCGTTGCACGCATCTCTGCTTGTCTAGCTGACATCTCTCAGTGGATGTCTGCTCACCACCTCAAACTCAACCTTGACAAGACTGAGCTGCTCTTCCTTCCAGGGAAAAGATTGTCCCACTCTTGACCTAACAATCAACATCGGCACCTCAGTTGTTTCCCCGACTCAGACTGCAAGGAATCTGGGTGTGACCCTAGATAACAACCTGTCCTTCACTGCAAACATCGCTGCTACAACCCGTTGCTGCAGATACACGCTTTACAACATCAGGAGGATACGTCCCCAGCTGACCCAGAAAGCGACTCAGGTTCTGGTCCAGGCTCTCGTCATCTCACGCCTAGACTACTGCAACTCCCTCCTGGCTGGTCTACCTGCATGTGCCATCCGACCTCTGCAGCTCATCCAGAATGCAGCGGCTCGTCTGGTCTTCAACCTTCCTAAATTCTCCCACACCACTCCGCTCCTCCGCTCCCTTCACTGGCTTCCGGTAACTGCTAGAATCCACTTCAAGACACTGGTACTTGCTTACCATGCTGCGAATGGATCTGGCCCTTCCTACATCCAGGACATGGTTAAACCGTACACCCCAGCACGTGCACTACGCTCTACATCAACCAAACAGCTCTCTGCACCCGCACTGCGAGGGGGACCCAAGTTCCCATCAGCAAAAACACGTGGGTTTGCTGTCCTGGCTCCAAGATGGTGGAATGAGCTCCCCATTGACATCAGGACAGCAGATAGCTTACACATCTTCCGGCGCAGACTGAAAACTCATCTCTTTCGACTCCACTTCGAGCGATAGAACTATTAACAAAGCACTTATATACTAATAAAGGACTGGATTACCTAAAGCCAGTTGAGTAGCACTTGAAATGTTTGGCTCTATGAAACCTGATATACTTATATGATTCTGTTTTCTTCAAGGTTGTGTCTTCCTGGTCGAATGTACTTATTGTAAGTCGCTTTGGATAAAAGCGTCAGCTAAATGCAATGTAATGTAATGGAGGATGCTCTGTGCCCCCAGACGCCCATGTGACATTGACATTTGTATTTGTTCACTTTTAGATGTTTTATTTTTTCTAACATTTAGGAAATACCACTTTATAGCTCAGAGATATTTTCAACAAGCAGATAGAAAGGTGCAGTAACCTGCTCTGACTCTGACCTGTCCTCTTGCTGCCTGTAGAGGGCAGCGTCTGCACACAATGCCTTTCCACTCACATCATATTTATATATATATTTAAATGTGTGTTATTCAATTGAGGAAAAATAGCATAATATATCAGTGAAGTGAAATGCAAAATTGTTATTCTGACGCACAACATTTTAAACGTAAAAGGTGGGGGCCATGGTGACTTCCTGTGACTCATGTTGTATTTCTTCTTTCAGGTATTCCATGGCAGAAACCGGGGGTCCTGTGTCAGAGCTGAAGCCTGGAGGGGTGGCCGTCGCCCTCTCTGGTCAGCCCCTCTGTGACCCCTCCAGGACCTGGGCACAGCCGGCAGAAGCCTGCAGACCGGCGGCAGGAACAGCCTGCCCCCCCCCACAGGTGCTCCATCAGGAACATTCTGGAAGTGACGGCTTCAGTCTGAGGGTGGGGGGACAGGAAAAAAGCCAATGTGAACACTTTGTGCCCTATAAGGCTCCAAGCCCCCCCCATAGTCTGGCAGAGAAACACACCCCCCAACATTCAGACAAGGCCGTGGTGACTGCAGCAATGCCCCCCCCTCAGGCTGGAGGGACGGTGCAGGGCATAGAGCCCCCCTTCCTCCCTGTACACAGGAGCCATCCAGACACTACGTACAGACCTGTAGCCCCCCTGCCTCCTCTCACAGATACTTGTGGACTCTCTCACCATGGGGGGGGGAGGAGTCAGGCCAGCCCCCCCATGTTGGCTTGCAAGCAGCCCATGCAGCTGCAGCAGTGCAGCATCATCACCACCACCTGCCGGGGGGGCAGCAGTGGAGACACACTACCTCACAGCAGGTGTGTCTGTGTCTCCGCCCCCCAGGCCACAGCCAGGATGGTGGGTGTTGAAGAAAAACTCCCCCCTAAATGTGAGCAGCCTCTGTGCTGCGGCTCCTACCATGTGACCTTTGAGGACACGTTTGCAGCGTACTGCCACCCCCAGCCCCTCCCCGCACACCCCCAGCTGCTGCACCGTATGGCAGGCGGAGAGCCACACTGTGACATCCAGCGGGCAGGCCCCCCCCCCCTCAGTGACCAACCACCTCACCCTTCCCCGCCTCGTGTCCTCCGTCAGTGAGACAGGTCTGGACAGCAAACACCTGCACCGCTGCAGCCTGGGCCTCTCCTACAGCCGGCTGCCTGCACCCCCAGCTCCAAGGCACTTTGGTGGAGAGGAATGCTGCAGCCATGTCAGAACCACAACCCGGGACATGGGGACCATCACGACCCACAGACAGCTGAGGGATGTGGGGGTGCAGACGGCGCCGACTGCGACCCCTCATGTCTTCCCAGAGATTTGTCTGGCGGAGGAGAGCAGGACACAGACTAACACTGACAGTGATGGAGGCAGGAAGGGGGGCGGTGCTGCCAAGTCCCCGGTGAAGGAGGTAAAGTGGGATGCTGAAGGGATGACCTGGGAGGTGTATGGGGCCTCAGTGGACCCAGAGGAGCTGGGCCTGGCCATCCAGAAGCACCTGGAGCTGCAGATCAAGGAGACAGCCAGCCACGCAGCCAAGCTGAGCCGCCAAAACACCAGCACCTCCCAGCAGGAGGGGGGGGGCTGTCAGAGGAAGAGGAGCAGGACAATGGGCTCCATCCGGGCCCCAGCCTGCTGCACCACAGCTGTGGACTAACCGGAGGAGGGGGGGAGACTATTGTTGAACTAACAGCAGCTTTATATTTAATTTGTTCTATGTATACAATGTCAACTATTGGAATCAGGACTCGTGCAGCTGTGCAGTGTCAGTGAGTGCGTCTTCAACTAAACCTAAAGGACACGCACACACCTGAGCTGTGTGAGGCAGCAGTCCTGCAATAAATATATTTGCAACTCACAACGGATGTGTAGAGGGTGTGTCACCCTGACCCTCCCCCTCTGAGACTGAAGCCTTCTCTTGATGTGGAGCTGGGGGGGGGGGTGTTTAGAACATGAGTGTACATGACAGCAGAAGAGCAGGCCCTCAGTGATTCAGTATCACACTGCAGACAGTGTGACACGTTGTGTTGGTGCCTCCTTCTTGGTTTTCAGCTAAAAAAGACTGTAACAACATTACACTATATCAATATCTGTAGAATGTCAACAGATTGATTTCACACTCATGACGTTATAATAAATGAAACCCTCTTTTATTGATGGTTGTGATTGTGATTCCACTCTGGTTGAAACCTCCATCATGGAAACTCGGTAATAAAAGATGTGTAGATCCCACTTTGTGTTGATTTTTGTTTGTGTGTTTAATAAATGACTTTAACTTATCATATTTAATATGTAGTGTTTTGTTTACCACACACCTTGGAGTACTTGTATAGAGCAGTGGTTCCCAACCTCCTTGGTCTCGTGGACCCCATTCTTTAAGAACCCCCCCCCCCCCCCACTCATCTGTGATGACTCTCCTTCCTGTTTTCTTGTGTTAAACCCTTTGTTATCGTATTCAACCCAACTGCTCCTTAGATGAGAATCACTGGTATAACTCACCCTCAATACGAATGCATTTAAACTTGACATTTAGATTTATTGTCAGGGGAAAATAATAACATTAAGCAGTAGCAGTTTCAACATCTTTTGTTAAGAACTTTTAATGAGACACTTGAGCTTGCTTGAATGAGCTTTGAGCTCTGGGGGCAGGACACCAGGCTTATGAAAATTGATGTGTGGAAATATATTGCAATCCCTAATCACTTTCTACGTAGCCCCTTCTACATTATCCAAAGCGACTTACAATAAGTGCGTTCGACCAACAAGACACAACCTTGAAGAAAACAGAATCATATAAGTACATCAGGTTTCATAGAGCCAAACATTTCAAGTGCTACTCAACTGGCTTTAGATAAGCCAGTCCTTTATTATAACTAAGTGCTTTGGGCTCAGAACAGTCTCATAATACACACATGCACACAGAAGGATCCACACTTGTGTTTTTCAATGCATACACAAATGTGTTCCGTTTCATATACTTGTAAATAAAATCCAAATACAGAAAAAAGTTTTACATATGTATTTTTGATCCTCACATATTTGTTTTCCGTTTAAATCCCCTGAACCTGCAAACACAAACCGCTTTCTGTGCACGGATCGCTGTGCATTCGTGTGTGGGGTTTTTGAGACTCCCCTGATGGTCAGCCGATTCGTACTTGTAATGTTTTAGCCAATCAGATGTCTCCTCAATTCTACGCCAATTATTGCGTTCATGACACTTCATATACGCATTTTGCGCTGTCCGGAGCAGGGTTTCCGCAGACAGAATTTATTTTACCGGACAAATTTGAAACTTACCGGTCATGTTTCAATAATATTAATAAGAAGAAGAAGAATTGTGTAGCAGAGTTCCCGTTAGCATGTAATTACCGGACTATGACCGGATATGGCTAATAACACGGGAGTAACGGATCCTCTCTTTTCCTCTCTCCTGACCAGGGGCGCCGCCAGGGATTTTGGGCCCCATGAAAAGATATCACATTGGTTACTTAAACATTTTTTTCTTAATGTTATAAAATAGTTTGGGCCCCTGTTAGTAACGGGCCCTTAGAATCGTCCTAACTTCGTACCCCCTTACGGCGCCCCTGCTCCTGACAGCCCGTCAGTTTCTCATGCAGCTCGCTAAAACTTCACTCGCGTTTATGTCCATATCGATCAGATCCAGCTCTCCTGATCAGCCTTTATAGAGAGCACCGATTCAAACTATTAAGAGTGAATATCGGCCCGATAATGACAGGCGGGCGTCCCCCCCCCCCCCCCCCCCCCCCCCCCCCCCCCCCCCCCCCCCCCCCCCCCCCCCCCCCCCCCCCCCCCCCCCCCCCCCCCCCCCCCCCCCCCCCCCCCCCCCCCCCCCCCCCCCCCCCCCCCCCCCCCCCCCCCCCTTGACAGTTCACTGTCTAGCACTGGCTTCGTAGTGCACTGATCAATTAGGCTAAGCTAACCTGTAGCTGCTCCCTCCACACTCACAACAACTTCATACAGACATAAATAAAGCAGCTGTATTCGCCACACAGGAAACACACATTTAAAACGGTTTTGCCTGCCGTTTTTGTTTACACAAGCATTCATCAATGGTTCGGAAAGTGGCGCTGTACCTTAATAATATAAAGGCTTGTATTTGCGTGCATTTCCTGTTCGGAAAGTGGCACTGTACTGAGAGTGGAGGTGTCCTGACATTAGCGCCTGCAGGCAGGCTCCATGGAGCTGTCAGCTCCGGACTGCGCAAAATGCGTACATGAAGCGCTACGTCATGAAGCGCAAGAAATCTGCCCTCGTGGGGGCGCGCTCATGTGATTGGTTTACAATTGAGGAGACATCTGATTGGCTATAGATAGAACAAATTACAAGTACGAATCGGCTGACCGTCAGGGGAGTCTCAAAAAACCCACACACGAATGCACAGCGATCCGTGCACAGAAAGCGGTTTGTGTTTGCAGGTTCAGAGGTTTTAAACGGAAAACAAATATGTGAGGATCAAAAATACATATGTAAAGCTTTTTTCTGTATTTGGATTTTATTTACATGTATATGAAACGGAACACATTTGTGTGTGCATTGAAAAACACAAGTGTGGATCCGGAAATACAAGTGTGTGAATCCTTCTGTGTGCATGTGTGTATTATGAGACTGTTCTGAGCCCGTTTTCAGTCTGCGCCGGAAGATGTGTAAGCTTTCTGCTGTCCTGATGTCAATAGAGAGGCGAAGTCCCTCCCCTTCCGAAAGCCTCCATGGGACCCCGGAAGCGGAAAATTATACATTGAAGTCAATGGAGAGAGAAAGGTTATCTTTTGATCCCGTTTGAATTGTGCCACGAATGACACATATGATGTTTGTCAATTTAAAAGAACATTTTGCAAGTCAAAAAAATAAAAATGTGTCGTAAAACTGTGAAGTTACACATTTTTTCGTGTGAAACCGCTCAGTGAACTACAGGTCTCTCGTCTCGCACAATACGCGTCACCAACATAAAGATGGCCGTCACGTTAGCACATTTCACCACATTCTTTCAGAATGAGAATAAAAGTATTTTACGAGGTGAAAATCACTACAAGTCTGGGCACGTTGAGAGCTGTACCTATATGAAAGGGGAGTTAGTCGGTTCTGTAAGAGCAGCGGGGACCGGCTTTACAAGGTTTCGGTGAGTAATATGAGTGCAATGTGTAACGTTAATGTCAGCTAGCTAACATTAGCTAACAAGGTACACTAACGTGTTTTGTTTTAGTAACTAGTTTTCTCCTTAAGAAATTCGTGGTCTCTGTGTATGTTGTGGATAACATTAGTGTTCACAAGAACAAGGTACACTCCCGTGTTTTGTTTTAGTTGCTCTTCAGATTGAAGCGGCCAGTTTTATATTGACTATACTGTATGTGTGATCTCCTTTTTCTCGTTGTGTCATTTGAGTTTATTTGCTGTGTGTAGATTCAAGGATTTTGGTTATCTAGGCACAGCTGTGTGTGACTCCCTCTGGTACACTGGTATGTGTTTTCCTAATGTAGAGAGCATTGATTAATTAATAAACTACACACTGAGTCTAGATCCTGACCAAATCCTTTTTTATTGTTGATCAAATGTTTTTCAAAAATGTATTCATACACATTTAGAAAAATACAATGTACAATCACAACCAATACAACACAAATTACAAAAAATACAGAAAAAACAAACAATAACAACAATCAGACAAGAGGACAAAACTATGGGAAAATAAACCCTCCCACCCCCAGATCCGGACCATACTTGTATTATTGCTCATTCAATCTATTATAGCATGCTAACAAATGGTACTTACTTTATTTTTACAGATCTGCATGGGAGACGATGGCGCGATGCAGAGCGCTGTCTGTGATTGTGCACGGGGGATGTACAAATGCAGCCACGCTGCAGCATTGGCAATATTTGCCATGTGGCAGATCAGCTCCACAGATGTGAGTGCCAGTGAAGGAAGCCTGGCACTTAAAAAGTAGTCCAGTCGGTGTCTCAACTTTACCAACAGCGAGAGGAGACATACAACCCACTGGCCAGAGACATCGCCAACTGTCAACTGGGGGGTTGTAAACGAGGCCGAAGGGGTGAAGGCTTAGAATCGAGTCTGGTCTCTTTGTGAGTGAGTCGGGTGTTTTGGGAGCATCACCCGATGGACTTGTGCAGCCATCTGCCCTGCTGGAGGTGAAGTGTCCACACAGCCAGAGGAACATGACCATCGCGGAGGCAGTCCAGTTACCATCCTTCTGTCTTCGTGAGGAGGGTGGGTCATATATTCTCAAGGAGAATCACCCATACTGGCACCAGTCCTTGGACTGGTGCAGCTGCATATCACAGACCGGAGTCTCTGCTACTTTGTTGTGTGGACCACGAAGGAGGTGATCATCATCCCCATCCCCAAAGACCCTGCATGGCATGGAAATCTCCTCCTCCTGGAACAATTCTACACCCAGCATATGCTCCCTGTGTTGGCCAGTAGAGAGGAGGACATTTCAATAAACATACTCTTAACACCCTCGGACTCTGCGTTGTGTTTGGTATGTGTGATGGGGTGTTATGCAGAGGGAGAGGAAAACAGGACACAGCAGATTGGGATTGTGGTGGAGATGCTGAGCAGTTATTTAATTGTTGCATGTAATTATTATTATTCTGCGTGCTTCTTAGTTATTCCATCTTTTGCTGTAACATGGATCTGTATGTAACTCTATATTTACTTGTTATCTACCACACTTCCTTCTACATCATTATACATGATGGTGTATATAGGATATATATATTTGTATACATATCTGTAAATTGTATAATTTTATTTAAACATCTTTTTGATCTCTCAAACTGAGTAAAATTGACAATAAAGTTGACTTTGAAAAATATATATATTCTTTATGAAAATAGTTGACTGTTGTCAAATGAATCCAAATGAAACGTTGGACTGAACTACAACTACGCCTTTAAATCTCTACGGACTGTTTTTCAGTGGGATGGCAAGTTCCTATCTTTAAACATTTATTAGTTTTTTCTCAGAACAGATTTGATTTTCTGAAGTTAATTTAACTTTGCCGACCATGTAAGGTCATCATTAAAAGGTACAATCAATTTGTTTAGGTTTGACTAAAATAATGAAAAACATTTAATTTGGATAATTTACTGACAGAATAAGAAACTCAATGATGCTCTACTCACCTGTTCCTTTTTTATAAAGTGAAACAGTTGAAACGATAGATTTTAGTAAACTTAAAAACAACCTTCTCCAAAAGCTATCAAGGAATATACCGAATACTTACAATACAATACCTGTT